GGAAATCTGATTAAGGCCTTTGCTCTGCAAAGACAATGGTGCAGGTTGACCCCTGCACTCACACAGAGCCCCACTGACTTCAATCAGGTTCTGCACAGGGCCCAGCCTACGTGCTCTTTCTCCAGGATTGGGTCTAGTTGACTAGACAGGGGGAAAAGGGAACAGATTATATCCAAAAAGCTGTCAGAGGCACATGGCAAGCAAGTTGAAAAATAGGGAAAATATTTCTTTTCCCTTAATCTCTTTCAGTTACAGTCATTTTAGGTGTTACTTGTAGGAACAGTGACAAAAATGTCTTCGAACAGTGTCTTTTTAATTATTCCAGATGGTGACTTATTCATGAAATAGTTATATATCTGGGTGATTTTCTCCTCTTGATTTCCATGCTAATAAGGTTACTGGAAATTGGAATTGGGTCACCATTCTTAAATTGTTTTCCCTGATCTTCTGTTACCCTCTCTACTTTTTTAGATTCCACCTCTACATGCCATTTTTTCAAATTTTTAAGATGGGGGTGGGGTTTCCTCAGTCTCTCACCCATGTAATTTGTTTGTTTGCTTTGGAAACTGAGAATGCCATAGAAGAGGCTTACCTCTCTCAGCAGGATTTTGAAACAGCTGTGCTGCCACTTCCCTATTCAGTCTACATTCTGACAAGTAAGCAGCAGTTAATTCTTAATGACTTGTGTAGCACCAAAGCATTGTGGAGTTAAAATAGGACAGCCATTAAAAATGGAGCTAGAAATGCTACACGAGAATTTAGGACCAGGAAATGAGAAGAATACTTTATTCAATTGAAGTAATGGGGGAATTTTGGTAGGCAGCACATATCTGCCTATGTATTGGAATTTGTGAATCACAGGTTCCATCCCTTTTTGAGCTGTCATCAGCATCAATTATGTCAGCACCTCTTTTCTGACTGTGGAATTCTAACCTTAGGAAATTCAATGCAATATAGGAAATGTAGTCTAGTATAGGACAGATTCGTTTACACACCAGTGTTTTAACACTATGTTGATTAGACCTGTTCTGAGCAAATTTAAAGGACAGAGTTAAAAATGTCCATGTTATTGCTGTTGCTACCATCTCTGAAACTGAACCAATATTAGGAACAGTAGAAACTCTCTAGTGTAGACAAAGTTTCAGTCTGTTGTGTTTTCTTCTTCTCTCCCATCTTGTTATTCCACTTCTGCTGCAGTGGTTCCACTTTCTATAAAATACTTGAATAGTCATTGGGCAAGAGAGCATGAGAATTGCTTGATAGCTTGGTTCTTAGGGCACTCATAAGAACGGACATACTGGGTCAGACCAAAGGTCCATCAAGCCCAGTATTCTGTCCTCTGACAGTGGCCAATGGCAGGTGCCCCAAAGGGAATGAATAGAACAGGTAATCATCAAGTGATCCATGCCCTGTCACCCAATCCCAGCTTCTGGCAAACAGAGACTAGGGACACCATTCCTGCCCATCCTGACTAATAGCAATTGATGGACCTATCTTCCATTAATCTATCTAGCTCCCTTTTGAACCCCATTATAGTATTGGCCTTCACGACACCCTCTGGCAAGGAGTTCCAGAGGTTGACAGTGCGTTGCGTGAAAAAATGCTTTCTTGTGTTTGTTTTAAACCTGCTACCTATTAATTTCATTTGGTGGCCCGTTGTTCTTGGGTTATGAGAAGAAGTAAATAACACTTCCTTATTTACTTTCTCTGTATCACTCATGATTTAATAGACCTCTATCATATCCCCCTTTATTCGCCTCTTTTCCAAGCTGAAAAGTCCCAGTCTTATTAATCTCTCATCATACGGAAGCCATACTATACCCCTAATCATTTTTATTGCCCTTTTCTGAACCTTTTCCAATTCCACTATATCTTTTTTGAGATGGGGCGACCACATCTGCACGCAGTATTCAAGGTGTGCATGTACCATGGATTTATATAGCGGCAATATGATATTTTCTGTCTTATTATCTATCCCTTTCTTGATGATTCCCAACATTCTGTTAGCTTTTTTGACTGCCGCTGCACATTGAGTGGATGATTTCAGAGAACTATCCACAATGACTCCAAGATCTCTTTCTTGAGTGGTAACAGCTAATTTAGACCCTATCATTGTATATGTATAGTTAGGATTATGTTTTCCAATGTGCATTACTTTACATTTATCAACAAATTATCAATATTTATTAAATTTCATCTGCCATTTTGTTTCCCAGTCACCCAGTTTTGTGAGATCCTTTTGTAGCTCTTCGCAGTCTGTCTGGGACATAACTATCTTGAGTAGTTTTGTATCATCTGCAAATTTTGCCACCTTGCTGTTTACCCCATTTTCCAGATCATTTATGAATATGTTAAATAGGACTGGGCCCAGTACAGATCCCTGGGGGACACCACTATTTACCTCTCTCCATTCTGAAAACTGACCATTTATTCCTACCCTTTGTTTCCTATCTTTTAACCAGTTACCAATCCATGAGAGAACCTTCCCTCTTATCCCATGACTGCTTATTTTGCTTAAGAGCCTTTGGTGAGGGACCTTGTCAAAGGCTTTCTGAAAATCTAAATATACTATATCCACTGGATCTCCTTTGTCCGCATGCTTGTTGACCCCCTCAAAGAATTCTAGTAGATTGGTGAGGCATGGTTTCCCTTTACAAAAACCATGTTGACTATTTTCCAACAAATTATGTTCATCTATGTGTCTGACAATTTTTAGGTTACAGATGACAGTTAGTAGTTCTGCAATTTCACATTTGAGTTCCTTCAGAACTCTTGGGTGAATACCATCAGGTCCTGGAGACTTATTACTGTTTAGTTTATCAATTTGTTCCAAAACCTCCTCTAATGACACCTCAATTTGGGACAGTTCCTTATATCTGTCACCCAAAAAGAATGGCTCAGGTTTGGGAATCTCCCTCACATCCTCAACAGTGAAGACAGATGCAAAGAATTCATTTAGTTTCTCTGCAATGGCCTTATCATCTTTGAGTGCTCCTTTAGCATCTCGATCGTCCAGTGGCCCCACTGGTTGTTTAGCAGGCTTTCTACTTCTGATGTATTTAAGATGCGGGATGGGGGATGCGGGAGCTCTTGGTTCAATTCCTTGCTCCACTTAATTATTTAAATAAAAATGGAACAGCTTCAACAGGAGATATTGAGTCACCTCTTCCCCAAAATACCCCATAGGCCAATGATTCAGGCACACTTAGGGTTGCCAACCCTCCAGAGTTGGCTGGAGTCTCCAGGAATTAAAGATTAATTTAAACTAAAGGATTATGTCATGTGATGAAACCTTCAGGAATATGTTCAACCAAAATTGGCAACCCTAGGCAAACTCCTGTGAGATGGGAGACTGAAATTCAAATCCCTGTTCCATATCAGGCAGAAGAAAAAATTGAAGCAAGATCTCCCACATCCCAGTTGAGCACCTATAACGAGTTGGCTAATGGTTATAAGATGGGCTCCTCTCCTCCCCCTTTTGTGACTCAAGCCCTTTATAAATGCACAGGCACAGCACATTTCATTCAACCCAAAATAGACTTTTTTGATTTACTGAATTTTTTTTTTAATTTCTGGATTGGCTTCAACCAGAATCAATTTCCCCTCTCCCGCAACCCCCACCCAAAATATTTTTGGAACTGCAGGCAAATGAAAAAAATCAATTATTTACCAACCCCTAATAGCAGTAGGTGTGATAGGAGAGGGTAACTACCCACCAATTCATCACAAAAGAGTCTCAATCACAGAAAGTTGTAGAGTATAGTGTCCTGCCTCTTGAAGAGGGAACCCTGTGCTTCTCCTATAGCTCTGCCTAATGGAGAGGAAGCAGGAAATGATGTGAAATGATAGCATCTAGAGTTAGCTACACTGCAAAGCACAACTGTGATGCTACTCCTATCAAATCTGAGGCCTCTCAAAATCCATGAGGGATGGGAGCTCTCTAAGTAGGTGATAGTACCTGCCTGCTCTGTGCGGGTATGAACCTCAGAGACTAGATAAGCTGTGATTAGGGAACTCTCTAAATGGTGCAACTGCAAACCAAGTGACTTAGATGTGTCTGTCTCATTTGGGGCATCATGTAGGCATTCACCTGTTTGTCATAATCTGACACACTTTTAAAATATGTCTCTGCATCTTGTTATTTATAGCTATTGTTTTTGAAACATTCTCTAGGACTGGTGCATAACATTTGCAGGGAGATAACTACAGTTACAGTGCTTCTTCCCTTTAACCATTGTGTTATCTGGCAAATGACAGAAATTTAGGAATTATTAAAAAAATAAAATAGGTGCCTTGTCAACAAGCTCCTGCTTCCTCAGGACTCCCTAGTGCTTAAACAGCACAGCTCACATGGGGGCCTTTGTGGAGCTGCATCACTGCAGCCATGTGCCTTCATATCTCCACAGCCAGTCAGCTAGCTCTCCTAGTGCAACAAGGAAGGGCCATGGCCTCAGGGTTCCATGGAGGAAACAGCCCCTGTACTTCTTCCAAGCACAAAGACAATAGTTGGGTTCTACATGGGCTGCACAAGAGGAGTGAGTAAAGGCTCCTTGCACTCCCTCCTGTATATCCACATATGGCCCAACTCTAATCTGGCCTTGAATTAGGAGGCACAAATCCTCTAATGTATCTACCATTTTCCATTTGCCCCAGTGATATGGTTGGAGTGACTGACACTATTTCCTTTGTATTGTTGTTATATTGTGTTAGATGCTAATCTAGCAACTGTTTATGCTGCTGTGAATAAAATGTCATTACATTTAATGCCTACATCACTCTTTATCCTCCTTGCTCCCACTCAGAAGTAATATGGACTAGTGTTTAAACAAATGTAGCTGAAGTCTACCACATGGAGGAGTTGAGCCTGTTGTTATTTCTGACTGTGACACTGGGGAAGGATGAAACAATTATTTGAAAGGAAAATGTATTTGCATTCATAGTAGAAGTGACTGAACCCAGGCCTTGCTGAGTATATTGTATATTATATTCTTCTCACTCAGGACAGCATGACATCACCAACGCTGCAAAGTACCGGTTGCTGATCACCCTGCTCTCCCACTGACTTCAGTAGGGGAAGGGCCTTTCAGAGTGAACCATGGTGAACATGAGAAAAAGAGGCCCTTGAATATTTCTGGAGGTCAAATAATCAGTTTAGTAAAAGAACACAAATTCTTATTCATTCCAGGGTTCTCTCTGGAAACCCAAGGAGTATTATTGTTTGTCATCATATAATTGCGAATTCTAAAATGCTATTGGAGCAGAGCAGGTGATTCTCGCTGCTATCATAAATTGGGAAAAGCCTGGAGACTCTGCTGCAAATAAACTGAAACATGTTTTGTAAGCAGATGAAAAGAGGGTTTATCTGATGGCATCAAGACTTACGTTTAATATTTCATTATACTGTAGAACAGGGGTGGGCAAACTATGGCTCGGGGGCTGCATCCGGCCCTTCAGACATTTCAATCTGGCCCTCGAGCTACAGCACCCAGGGCTTGCCCCGCTCCTGCCAGGGAGCAGGATTGGGGGCTTGCCTGGCTCCATGCATGCCAGGTCTCCGGGTGGCTCCTGGAAGCAGCAGCATGTCCCTCCTCCACCTCCTACACATAGGGGCAGCCAGGGGGCTCCGCACACTGCCCTCACAGCTCCCATTGCCTGGCAACTGCGGTCCAATGGGAGCTGCAGGAGCAGCGCCTGCAGACGGCAGCATGCAGAGTCTCCGGGCTGCACCTCTGCATAGGAGCCGGAGGGGGGACATGCCGCTGCTTCCAGGAGCTGCTTGAGGTAAACACCGGCCGGAGCCTGCACCCCAACCCCCTCCCGTGCCCCAACCACCTGCCCCAGCCCTGATCCCCTTCCTGCCCTCCGAACCCCTCGGTCCCAGCCCAGAGCACCCTCCTGAACCCACAACCCCTCATTCCCAACCCTATCCCAGAACTCAGACCCCCAGCTGAAGCCCTCACCCCCTCCCAACCCCCAATTTCGTGAGCATTCCTGGCCACCATACAATTTCCATACCCAGATGTGGCCCTCGGGCCAAAAAATTTGCCCATCCCTGCTGTAGAAGCATGACCACAGTAATATACATCCTGTGACAGCTTTGTGTATATTCCTTGTAGCGGACAAAGTTTTGTTCTGTTTTTTTCATATCAACAGGTCATTAAATGATTTATTTTTATGATTGGTCATTCATATGGTTGACAAGTTTAGGAACCACTGTTAACTGACATCTTTTGAAAGACAGTACAAAAACTGTTCAACTTTAACATGTTAGACTGCAACATGGACAGGCAACTTGTTTCACTTTGCAAAAGAATCTGCCCTCCTTCATTAATATTTTATAAGGTCAATTTTGTTTCTGGTCTTACTAGAGGATTTATAATAGTTTGGCTAACTAACTGGATCACTCGGGTGTATCCAGTGCAACAACATTGTACTAAAATGTAGGTGTGTAACAAGTGATTACAATAAACCTCTTAATTCATCTCTGCTCAGATTTGTTTATTCTTGTATGGTGTTTTGCATGTTACTTGACAACTAGTACCCTTTATGATAAACATACCTATGCTGATGAAACACAGGCAAGGTTCTGAGAGCCTCTAGAAAGCTGCATGGGCCCACAAAGTCAGGGTTTAGTCTCACCGGCAATTTTTAAAATTGCAGTAACAGATTTTTACCCTCAGAATGCTGGCATCTTCCAAACTACCAACTTGCTTTAGAAAGATGTGTACAGTAAAACCCTTTTACAGCTCCAAACGCTGGCCTATGCTTCTGCTGGAGTAGCCCATGGTTTTGCTGCAGTAAACAATGAAATTCTTATGCCTGTGGCCTGGCAGCACACCAGCCCAATGTGGTTAGTCAGCTGAAGACTGAAGAGGGATGGAAGGGCTCCACAGGTGGCAATGCAAACATGCTCTGGGAGAGAAAGGGAAGTTCATCTTGGGTAAATAAAATCCCCTGTTTTACCCCTGCAGCTCTCCACAGATTCTCTACATGGAGGCTACTGGACCACCATGGCTGCACTTTCCTCATGAAGATACTATGAAGAAAGAGAAGGGAACAAAAGCCAGATCCTTATTTTAAAAAAATAAATAAATGATGGGTATGTTGCTGGGAAGTGAACAGGGCGGCATAAATGGGTTCTTTAGCCCGGTGGACCCTGCTTGTGCCCTCTGACAATTCAGAAACAGGTGCAGATTGTCTTCAGGAAAGCCCATGTAAGTTCCTGTGCACAAACTCACACGTGCTGGAACAATTTTTATAGTGGGGGTGCTGAGAGCCATTTAACCAAACTGTAAACCTTGTATATGATGGAAACCACTTCAAGCCAGGGGGTGCAGCAGCAGCCCTACTTCCAGCACCTATACACAAATTGTCAATCACTTGGGAAGGAACCAGCTGCCCAAAAGCCTAGAGTCAGTGCTCCCCACGAACACAGGTGAGGTGGAGTTCTGGTGAGGGGAAAAGTTGTGTACTACAGAAGCACTATGTGGTAACCACTGAGGTGTTCCCCTCACTCACAGAACGGGTGTAGGCCTCTGCAACCAGAGAGCCCAGTATTGCCATGCAGTTTCCAGCCACATTCCACATCACAGAGACACTTGGCCAAGATTTTGCTTGTAGCAAAGTGACTTTTTTTCAAAACAACTTCACTATAAGGCAGCCTTGCATTAAAATTTAGTAGCCAAGCCACACATTCTACTCATCCACCCTATCCCATACCGAGGATGATTGTTTTAAAAAATACTTTATTTGCCCATGTAGGGAGGGAGAAAGAATCTTTCCAGGACTGGGGATGAGCAGAGTTTTGCAATGCTGCTATTATGACCAGACTGTAATGTTTACATTGCAGTGCATTTAGACAACCTGAATGTCTTTCCTGTTCACTGTAAACTTAGCTTCCCTCTATCTGAATTATTATTATTTGTATTACTGTATCACCTAGGAGCCACAGAGTCATGGCCTATGACCCCATTGTGCTAGGCACTGTACAAACTCAGAACAAAAAGATAGTCACTGCCCCAAAGAACTTACATATGACATAGGTAGACTCGATATTCACTCCACTTCCAAATATTTAAAATGTGTAGCTCAGACAGGGCCAGCTCCAGGGTTTTGGCTGCCCCAAGCAGCCAAAAAAAAAAAAAAAAGCCGCGATCGCGATCTGCGGCGGCAATTTGGCGGAAGGTCCTTCGCTCTGAGCCGGAATGAGGGACCGTCCGCCGAATTGCCACCAAATACCTGGACGTGCCGCCCCTCTCCGGAGTGGCCGCCCCAAGCACCTGCTTGCCAGGCTGGTGCCTGGAGCCGGCCCTGAGCTCAGAATACTGAGATAAAATGATACTGCTGGGAAGTTAGGGTAAAGTGAAGGAAAGAATGGGGTTTTGTCCATGGGGACTTTCTATGTGCTGTATATATATATGCACATACATTTCCTAAAGATGTGAGAACTGCTCCTTAGTTTTAATCTGAATATGGACATTTTTCAGCAACATAAAGAAAACTTTACAGCATAGTTATTTGGTGCTAAATTCATTCATGATGTAACTCCACTGAAGTCAATGAGTTACACCAGAGATAGGTTTTTGCTCTTTGTATAGATCAAACACAACCTGAAAATAGAACAGAACTAATGAATCCCTACAGACAGCCAAATAAGTAAAATATCTATAGCCACAACATAATAAACACTTTGTTTTTATTACAAAATAATTTCAAATATAATCTGAAAAACATGCTTATTTCCCAACAATCAGATCTCCCTGCTTCCCCTAATGAGTTAATTTGGATGGGTCAAGATAACAACTCTCGTGACCTGTTGGTTTCATAGATTCTAGGACTGGAAGGGACCTCGAGAGATCATCGAGTCCAATCCCCTGCCCTCATGGCAGGACCAAATACTGCCTAGACCATCCCTGATAGACATTTATCTAACCTACTCTTAAATATCTCCAGAGATGGAGATTCCACAACCTCCCTAGGCAATTTATTCCAGTATTTAACCACCCTGACAGTTAGGAACTTTTTCCTAATGTCCAACCTAAACTTTCCTTGCTGCAGTTTAAGCCCATTCTCCCTCCTCCTTTTAGATACCTGAAAACTGCTATCATGTCCCCTCTCAGTCTTCTCTTTTCCAAACTAAACAAACCCAATTCTTTCAGCCTTCCTTCATAGGTCATGTTCTCAAGACTTTTAATCATTCTTGTTGCTCTTCTCTGGACCCTCTCCAATTTCTCCACATCTTTCTTGAAATGCGGTGCCCAGAACTGGATACAATACTCCAGTTGAGGCCTAACCAGCGCAGAGTAGAGCGGAAGAATGACTTCTCGTGTCTTGCTCACAACACACCTGTTAATACATCCCAGAATCATGTTTGCTTTTTTTTGCAACAGCATCACACTGTTGACTCATATTTAGCTTGTGGTCCACTATAACCCCTAGATCCCTTTCTGCCGTACTCCTTCCTAGACAGTCTCTTCCCATTCTGTATGTGTGAAACTGATTTTTCCTTCCTAAGTGGAGCACTGTGCATTTGTGTTAAGTGGTGTTTTCTTTTAAATCAGTAAACCAAACTTTTTTGAATTCCACAAAGAAAAGGTTGGATTCAATTTTTTTGAGCAAAAGTTTCAGACCTCTATTTTTATTGTTCTAAAAATTTGATGTCATTCATTGTGATATTTTTAATTTTTATTTTAGTCATTAATTATTCTTGATTACTAGGACTAGATAGATGACAAATAATAAACCTGGGTCTTCTCAAGACATAATATTTATTTCAGCTTCCAGTCTGCAGGAGACGAGCTTATCAGCTTTGAGTTACTCACCATCTGTCTCTGTTCTTAGCCTTCTTCCCATCTCACTTTACACCCGTTTTTTTGGAGAATCTCCTTCACTCACATGGCTTCAACTATTGACTGGCAAATCTACTTGCCCTCTTCTGAGTACAGCAGGGCAAAAATCTTTGACTGAACCATTTTTCAGTGAAAAATACAGATTTGGTGACACCAAAACATTTTGTGAATTCATATGGGTTTCTGTGTTTCTTAAAAAAATAAAAAAACACCTCTCCCCGAAAATAAAAACATTTTCTTTCTGACAAGTTCTAAATGAACCGTTTTAATTTTTCAGCTGGAAATGGCTTTTTATTTAGAAATCTCATTTAATGTCATGAAAAAACAATTAAAACATACAAAGCTCAAAATCAAAACAAAATGTTTCATTTGACCCCGAACAAATTTTTTTTAAACCTTTATTCTGGCTATAATAGTTGAGATTGGAAAGGCTGTTTACTGAGTAACTGAAGACACACAATAGTGATGTGTAGAGAAACTATTACTTAAACTAATCAATGCAGCAAAGTTGAGAAATCAAAGAGATGACCTAGAAATGGAGTTCTGATTAAGAAAGGTCAGGTTGCTTGTGATTCCTAAAAGGTGTGGCGGTATGAGAAATGTTTGTTTTGCAATATATTGTGAAAGTGTTAGGGTTGGAAAATTTGTAATCTTTGTAAACGGACATGCTGTGTTACACTCTGTCTCTCAAGAAGTCAACTAGTAAGCATGGAATGTGAAACACTTCGAACAAGGAACAATTTAAAAAAAAAT